CCCTCTGGCCTTCATTAGTATGTGAATCCCTACGGCCTGAGGCCTCTAGTCACGCCCTTTAGTGCACTTTGGGAGGGGCTGTCTGGCCTACGTGACTGAACAATGTAATTCTATGGAGACTAGACTGCTTTTCAGGACCCTGGATTCTGGGGGCATGCCAAACTCCTGCCGGTTCTCACGCAGAGTCTCGAGGTTCTAGGCACCTGCCCAGCCATGAACCAGAATACCCTTATGCAGTCCTACATCTCCTCCCCTTTACTTTTTTAAAAAGGGGGGGGTCTGTGGTGAAAATTTTGGATGAGGAAGCCAAAAGAAAGCACTATGTAGGCCAGAGGGGTTAGCACAATTAAGTCACAGGGTAAGGGGAGTTGAGGGGGGGTTGGGAAGGTAAGGGATCATTGAATCAATTGATTATAGTTTGAGGTGGTACAGTTTGAGAGTAATAACATCTGACTAATCTAGATAGACATGTTTTTCTCACTAACATGTAACTTTAGCTATTTGACTTTGAGAGTTCATTTGTAGCTGGAAGGTCTGAATCTGTCTTTAGGACTCTGAGTGTCTCTGGATCTCTGGGTCTCAGCGTGTCTCTGGAGTCTGCAGTCAGGCAGTGTGGCTGCAAGTTCCAGGAGGTATCGTTGTCTCTGCTGGACTTGTGGGAATAGTCACCTGTAGAATAATCACAATAGGGAAGCAACACCCAGGCAGGGGGACGTCTGCAAAGGGTATGTGGTAAACACTTGGCTACTTGGGAGAAAGCACGCCATGGTGTGCCATTGAGATCCTAGAATGGCAAAGGTGTTTGAAGAAATTTTAGTCCTGGAATATATCTTTGAGTCTGTTTTGGATGGCTAAGGAAGAAAAACATCATATTAATTATGTAGGCAGCAACAGTTTGTCTGTAAAAGGACACTAGTTGTTAATTAAAGTTTGAAAAATGGTGATCCCATAGTTGATTTAACCTGTGGAAGTAGATTAGATGACTTTTGAACCTCGAGGAAGGCTTAAAAATTTGAAAAAAAATGTTGGGAATATATCATTAGTATTAGAGAGAAAAGGAGACATTTAAACTGAAAGCGAGAAATTTTGGGTTGAAAAGCACAAACACTGTTGTTTTAGGCGTTCCTGTTGGGGGAAAAGGAAATGTTTAAATGAAAAGCAAGAAAATTTTGGGTTGAGAAGCACAAACACTGTTGTTTTAGGTGTTCCTGTTTGGGGGAAAAGGCAATAATGGCAGGAAAGCACGAACATTGTTGTAGGTATTCCTGTTGGGGAGAAAAAGCATTAATAGTGGATTTAGAGGCAGTAGGGGAGGGGCCTGATCTGCCATGTGGTGACCGCTCTAGCAGAGAGGCCAAGGCATTCCCCATTTGTTTTTCTTAGGAATCCTAGAAGTAGAGGAGGAAAAGAAGGCCAACCTTGAAGAAAAGCTCAAAGCAAGAAACATAGTTGTTTGATAGGAGAGTCAGAAGGAGTGAAAGGCTGTATAAAGCTGAGCCATGGTGGGGAGACATGTGGAAGCTGGCTTGTAGCTGGCAGCTCCTGGGAGCTGGCAGGCAGCATGCAGTTTCTCTAGGCTCAGCCCAGAGTTTTTAGTTTTGAGAAAGAAACTGTGAGGTACACAGGGGCGAAGGGAGCAGACTGAGTCTCAGACCCTCTGCTATCAGGCAAGCCAGCTGGGCTATAGGTGCCCACAAATGACCTAGAAGGTGAAGTGGGGAAGGGGGCAAGCAGGGAGTTGGCCCTGTTGCTTCACTCAAGTAACAGACTGTAACTGGCTGGCCACAAATGGCAGAGTAGTGGGAGAAGTCTACCCTAGGCTAGCAGGCAGCCTGTGAAAGACTGATTCGCTGAGGGAAAATCACTGGGGACTAGAGTTTAGAGCCAGTGCTGCTGAGAAGCTAGCAGGCAGAGCTCGAAAAGCTGACCCTTGGGGTAGGGGCAGAGAGCAGAGATTAGGAAATCGCCACCATCTTGTTAAGTTGGAGAACACGTGGGGAGAAAGAGAAAGAAAGCTACAATAGCAGGCAGCGTGTGAAAGACTGAAGTAAGCACTCCTGATAGCTCAAAACAAAAGGGGAATCTCTCAACCAAGGGAAAGTCTTAGAATGAGAGTCAAGGCAGGCACTGTGGCCTGAAAGACAGCTGTTTGCTGTGAAGGAGCCCTCTCTGTGGAGTTGGGGGATGGGCAGAGTGGAGGCTAGGGAGCTGTTGCCATCTTGCCCTTGAACTGCAGAACACGTGGAGGAGAGGGAGAGAGAGAGAGAGAGAGATGTAGTCTTTTGAGCTAGATAGGAGCTAGTGGTAGCTAAGAGTCAGAGAGAAAACACTGGCCTGAAACACGTGGAGAGAGAAAGAGACCTGCCTAGCCTTGGGAACTAGGCTGGAGTTACTCATGGTTCCATGGAGAGGGTCTTGGCAGGTGCCAGCGGGGGGGGGGGGGTACTCTTGGAGCTGCCTTTGCCCTAATCCTCTACCACCTGTAGGGAATGATGTAGGCCCATGCATGGGCACGAGTCTCTGTTGCGTTGTGGGTCCGTGTGTCTGCCACGATGCGATAGGCTGGGATTGTAGCTCAGCATGGCAGGAGCACACGGGATCTTGGTTGAGTTTATTCCTTGCAACACTGGGCGAGCGCAGTGGGGGCCCCGCCCGGCATGGGGAATTCTCACTCTGTTTCCACCGGGATGCAGAGCTCTTGGATTAGGGATCACCGGGCCAGAAGTTGGCCGGAGAACGACTGGTCTCAAGCCCTTGGGTTCTCAGACTGCTGAGAGGCCTCTGAAGGACCGAGACAGGGGCATGTGGGCACACGACCGGACAACCCACAGCCAAGAAAAATGAGAGGGATTGGGGATCCCTGCACTCTGAGGCGGCCAAGGACTGATTGGTCTCAAGCCCTTGGGCTCTCAGATGGATGAGAGGCCACCGAAGGACTGAGACGGGGGCAAGTGGGCGCATGACCAGACAACTCACAGCCAAGAGAAACGGGGGGGG